CTACTTAAATCAAATCAGGAATTCCATGAAGTCATTAATTCATCTAAACAGCATTAGTTGATGAAAGTTCATCCTCATGTTGATTTGCCCAACAAAGTGAGTATCACCCAGGAAGTAATCACACCAGGCTCTAGGCAGTGAGGGTCTCACCATGCCCAATCACATCAAGCCAGATATATGAGGAAAATAGCAATGACAAAGATGAGAAGGCACATCAGTAGCAAGAAACAATCCTGGGATGAAGTCCCTCAGCCATTCATCTCCAGGACACACCCATCGAAGCCAAGCAAACAGGTGGGCTGCCTCCAGAAAGCTCACTTGACCACTATAGCTCTTCCTGCATGGCAAAACCCCACCTCCACAGTGACACACTTCCTCCAACAAGGCTACACCTCCTCCAATAAGGCCACACCTCCTAATAGTGCCACTTTCCATGGGCCAAGTCCATTCAACCACCACAGAGCCTCTAGGTTTTGTTGTTGTTGCTGTAGTTTATTGTTTGGGGGTTTATTTGTTTTGAGACAGCATCTCCATGTGTATCCCTGGCTGGTTTTGAACTCAGGAATCTGCTTCCTTTGCCTTCCTAGTACTGGCTTTGAAGGAATGCAGTTACAAACCCCACTACTTCATTTTTAAAAACCTTCTCTGTAACAAATCTCACTCACGTTCACAAGTCACTGCATTAGACAGTTTCTTTTTTTTTTTTTACTATATACATAGTTAAAACACACCCACGCAGAAGTAGACAACAGATCCTCATCAAGTTCCTTCTATGGGATGGACTAAGAATCGTATACTCTAGAAAGGAAACCCACTCAGGGAGCAAAAGGAAACAATGTTCTTATTATAAGGTTTGCTCATGCTTTGTTTGGTGTGAACCTATAACAACTCAATTAATATTTAGTAGTTCTGTTGTACTTAATTTTTTCACAATTAAATCCTCTTAATGCCAAAGAGCTCAGAAACTGGGCACATATTCAATTTTAAAATTAAATAAATATATTCGTCTCTTTCTACCGTGCATGGTTGTGCATGCCTGCACTAGTACTCTGCCGGCTGAGACAGGACAATAATAAATGTAACATAGAAACAAAATTCTGTTTCTCATGAAGCTGATAACCTTGTAGGCAGAACATATTGCAATATTGTCTTCTAGTGTTAGTGTTGCTGGAACAAAACCCAGATGGGACAAATCTATATAAAAAGAATCTGTCTGTCACAGGAAGTCATTAAAGATGGTGGTTTAACGAACAGCTTTACTCTGTAGATCATACCTTTTCGTTTTGATAGTAACATTTCTCTTGGGCAGGTGTGTTTTGTGTGAGTACATTTCAAGCTTTGAGAATCTCCTAAGGTTTTAGTCACACAGTCTCTGTTGATTTGGGTGAGATCACTGGCAACCCTCCAGTACTTTTTCATGTATCCTGATTTCAAAACTGCTACATTAATGATATCAACCCAAACAGATTTAACCCAGGGAAATATAAAACATCCCTTTGAGTTTCATACTGCAACTTATGTGACTTATTAATAGATTGTTTTTAAAAGCCCAGTATTTAAATAGACCTTTAAAAGTTTGTTTTGGATTTACTTATTTTATGTGTATGAGTGTTTTACATGAATGTATATAAGTGTAATAATAGCTGTATCACTTGTGTATCTGGTGCCTGTGGAGATCAGAAAAGGACACCAGATCTCCTGGCACTGGAGTTACAGATGGTAGTACCCTAGCTTGTGGTGATCTGAACTTGGGTTCCCTGCTAGAGCAACGAGTGCCGTCTCTACAGCCCCTGAATAGACCTTTTCTTTCTTTCTTTCTTTCTTTCTTTCTTTCTTTCTTTCTTTCTTT